TTATGATGATGATCTTTTCTGCACTCTGTGTGATGAATGAAAAAGTTCAAAAGTTTCATGGATAAAAGGTCTTTGCATCAATATCTTTCCGTAATGTCAATATATCATAACATTTTCTTTCTTTAGTTGGCTCGTTCTGTCGTTCATTTTTTTTATGTGTTGAGTGGGGGATTGGGTCGTGGCTTAGGGAGATCAGCTTTCATTTTGGTTCTCATTGATCATTGTTCCTTCAGGTACGGTTGTCTTGGCTCTGAATGCAATTCCAGATACAAGAGTACATGATAGAAATGGGTCAACTTCAAGAGAGGGAATAGGGGATCCATTTATTTCTAATGGTTTCACTTCTTCAGGGTCTCGGTGAGAGATTGATCTAATTGCTCTTTTTTTTTTCTTTTGACTTCTATGTTACATATTATCTCATAATGATTTGGACAGGGAACCGAAACCTATGCCATCTAATGAGGAAAACAATCCAGCTAGTTCTTGCCATGACAAGGTGACTGCAAATACCAATTTGGAGCAAAACTGTGAGCTTCTGAGTGAATCTTACATGGATGTCCCAGTTGTAGAAATTGATAATCTTGCCACTGGCTCCCAAAACAGTCATTGCATGTACCAAGAAGAGTTGTCACAGGACTTGACTCAGCCAAGTCCGAAAAGGCACCCTGAGTTGTCACATGACTTGACTCAGCCAACTCCAAAAAGCCGCCAGGCAGGCAAGGCAAGAAGTCCTGTTGTTGAGAAGCAACAGGGAAGGAAACTCGGCGGCTACAATAGGAGGGCCAAGAGCAGGGGGAAATAAGGCTTATCTGCATATGTTCCTTTACTGTAAAATCATTGTAAACTAGTTTCCAGGATATCTTATATTACCGCAACAAGGCATTTGTAAGCTGTAAGGAATTTCTTATCTACGCGTTCCATATTAGGTTTTTCTTTTTCCAACAATTGTGGTGAGAGGTAGTGGGTAGATTTTTAAATTTTAAGAACAGAAACTGCCACGAGGTTCTAGTTCTTTTTCATGTGAGAATTGCAATAGAACACTTTGTTAGTCCCAATGAAATTGGTGTTTGTTGTATCACCTGGGAGACTGCTGCCAAGCACGTGAGAAGTGATAATTCAAATGTTAAAAGGAAAGTAGTTTGCTGATCAATATTCCTACGATAAATTTTAGCAAAGTATGGGTATTAATTTTTTTCCAATCATTTTTCTTTTAATCTCTTAACGTAAAAATTAAGAATTGAAGTTAATATCCATGTATAACATAATTGATAAAAATGCTTGATTCAATAGATTTGTGTTTATTTTAGGATAAATTATTTTTTATTTTAAATTATAAGGCTGGGTTACATTCGTATATAAATGACTAAATTATATTAGTTGAAAATGAATTATCAAAATGCGGCTGGACGAGAGTAATTAAGGTAGACTTGGTTTGAAGATCCGAGGTGGTTCAACAGAATAATGGACTGCTAATTAGGAATAGATTGGGCCTATTAGATGTGGGAACTGGCCCAATTTAACTGTTCTTTCTGATCCTCGGCCGACTTGGGAATCTGGAATCCTTTACGTAAATAAAATAGTCGAGAGAAAACTTTGCTTGCTTTTTCTGAAAAAAAAAGGACAAACTATCAAAGCTCGTTGTAGTGAGCTAGTAGGATCAATGGAGCCTAATCCATCGTCGTCATCTTCTTCGCTAATCGCCCAGCAAACATGGGAACTTGAGAACAATATACTGCCGATGGAGCCACCGGACCTGTCGTCTGATTCAATCTTCTACTACGACGAGGCTGGCCAGGGAAAGTTCCAGCAAGAGAAGCCTTGGGCCAACGATCCTCACTACTTTAAGCGCGTCAAGATCTCCGCACTCGCCCTCCTCAAGATGGTCGTCCACGCACGCTCCGGTGGGACCATCGAGGTCATGGGCCTTATGCAGGGCAAGACCGACGGTGACGCCATCATCGTTATGGATGCTTTTGCTCTCCCTGTCGAAGGCACCGAGACTAGGGTTAATGCCCAGGCTGATGCCTATGAGTACATGGTCGAATATTCTCAAACCAATAAGCTGGTACTAACCAAACTCACTACAACCCTAGCTTTTTTTTTTTCCCCTGTTTGTGTATGACAGTAGCCCTTTGTAAAGGGATGTATTTTTGTTTTCTTTGCCCGGCAATTAATTTCGAACAGAGACATAGTTTGGCCTCTTTCTTTTCCTGCGACAGGTACTATCAATTCCTGTCCATTTAGGGGCTCTTCATGATTCCGGTTTTTTTTTTTTCGTATAAAAAAAAAGCCTCCCTAAAAAATGTAGTTCTGCATTGAATAAAGCATTGGATTCTTTAATCATTCTCTTTTTTAGGGAAGTCTAGAGTTTTGATTGTTCACTCTTCATTGGCTGGGTTTGAGAGGAAGGAGGTGGGTGTAGGATGGGATCCTTCGGAGGGGAGGGAATAAAATGAATTGTTTGGAACTAGCAAAAAAACATCATTTATGATAAAATGTGTTGAATTTAAAGTACTCAAATATGAAAAAGCTACTAATAATTAGAGTGCTGAGGTGTGATAATCAACCAAATACCGCGTCTTTTTCTGCAACTTCCTTTTTTTTTTTTTTCATTCATTTATTTCATGTCTTCTATCAAATATTCAACATATTAACCACTTTATTCTTAATCGACTGATTAACAGTTGAGATCGCTCCTATTTAGAATTTATTTCTAAATGGAATCATTTATGATATAAGTGGTAATCATCGATACATTACCAATTTGGTTTTTGCTAAATGGAGCCTGGATACTTCATTTTATTGGTCCAACCAAGTCAACCATAAATCATTCTTATTGATAATGTTAATCTGTTTCCGTACCCCTTCCTATCCTTTCCCTTTATTTCCTTCCGCTTGTATGGACGAAAGGCTGTGACTGAGGGAGGAGGAGTGAATAGAAAGCTGTTATTTGGTCCTCATGGAAAAATATTAGTTGGGGGGAAACAGATGAAATGGAAATTACTCAACCAAACTTTTTAGTAAAATATTAGTCGATGGAGAGATAAATATAAGAGAATAACAATTTTTAATATCTTTTGGGAGAGTTTCTGCAGGCAATTGGAAAATGTTGAGAGTATTCACCCTTGTTTTTTTACAACAGATAGGAAGTAAATAGATGAAACCTAAATAGGATTGAGAATTAGTTCTTTCTGATTACTCTGTGTATCCTGAATAATGTTGATAGGTAGTATTTCACCTTCGTTTCCAATAATGAATGGAAAGTTGGACAAAAAGTAAGTTGGTGAAGGATTTAGTTTATTCTGATTACTAGTTAATCCTTCAATAACTTCGATGACTAATATTTCATCCTCATTCTCCCTGAAATGGTTGGAAAGTCTGATAAAAAGTAAGTTGGAGTAGGAATTAATTTATTTTGGTGACTACTATATCCTAAATATGTCTTGAAAATACTTTGTTTAGAGGAATTTCTTGAAAATACTTTATTCTCGTTTTCACTCTCTCTTAGTGAAGTAAAATATTCTGTTGATTCTATTCCATACCATTCTCTTCTCCCAAACAGACCCTCTAGCGAACTGCATCATTATGTACCCTGGTGCCTTTTTGAAGAGCAGAAGATAATTTTAATTTAGGTTCTCTAGATGCTTATAATATAGAAAATTGGCTCTATTTGGTTCTTCCATCAATTAGAAAGGGTTGTGAGTCTTCTGAATGTTAAGACTAAGAGATGGTGTGCTACTTCTTATAGATTACAATTTAGGTGCTATTTACCAGTAGTGATTGATTTGTCTGAATTTAAGATAGCTGTAATTAGCTATAAGCATACACAGTTAGTTTCATTGTTTAGAACATTGTCTTGTAGGCTGGACGGTTAGAGAATGTCGTTGGTTGGTATCATTCACATCCTGGATACGGATGCTGGCTTTCTGGAATTGATGTTTCAACACAAATGCTCAACCAGCAATTTCAGGAGCCCTTCTTAGCTGTTGTTATTGATCCAACAAGGACTGTTTCAGCTGGGAAAGTTGAGATTGGGGCATTCAGGACATATCCAGAAGGATATAAGCCTCCAGATGATCCTGTCTCTGAGTATCAGACAATTCCTCTGAATAAGATTGAAGACTTTGGAGTGCATTGTAAACAGGTTGTTACATCCACCAATGCTTATTTGGAGATTCTTATTACATTGACACTGGCTAATCTTGCTCATACATATTTTGGCAGTATTATGCATTGGATATCACTTATTTTAAGTCCTCTCTTGATTGTCACCTTCTGGATTTGCTTTGGAACAAGTACTGGGTGAATACACTTTCATCTTCACCTTTATTGGGTAATGGAGACTATGTTGCTGGTCAAATTTCCGACTTAGGTAATTCTCAGATATTTTTTTTTTAATAAAACCTTAGTTTTGAGAGTTTTTACTGTTTGTAGTCACTGAAGGACTTATTACTGTGATAAGCTTTTGATAGATGCATTAATATACTTGTTAGAAACTTTTGGCATAAGCAGCACCTTTTTGGGTAGATACAGAAAAGCAGACCGCACTGCACCTAGAATTCCAAAGAAACAAACACAAATACTGTGCCCTTTGACTCCTATATTTCATGATTTTTACATGATTGGAACTCATTAGGCTTGCAAATAGATAGGAACTCTAGTTGCATGACTAATCTTACTCATTATATATTTCATACAAAGATCTGCTCCTTGTTTCTCTTACTCTTTCTTTGAGATGAAATAATTTTCTTTGGATCATGAAGCTGAGAAGCTGGAGCAAGCAGAGAATCAACTGGCTCACTCCAGGTTGGGTGGAATAGTGCCAGGACCTTTTCAAAGAAAGAAAGAGGTCAGTGTAGTTTTCCCATTTTATGCGTAAGGAGAGGTGGTAACATTTACCTATCGTTAATTGAGTCTGGTGGGTAACTTGTATTTAGACCTTTATTTCAAATTTCAGAAGAGCTTAGCTGAGGGTAGGCTTAATCTGCCTTCTCTTCTAGAATATTCATTTTTTAATGTTTAGCATAATATTTCTTTAGATTATTTTATTGTGTGTAGGAGGTTTTTAGACTTCCACGAATTAAACAATTTGTATGACTGCTATCACATGATATTATTCATTTGTTGGGAATATCATATTTCATGGCCACTACATCTTTAAGGTTTTCAATCATCCAAATAAACTGTTACAAAGCAATTTGGTTGCACATACCTTACATCTGCATTCATTAGATAGATAGAACCATGGAATGAAAGGTAGATTCACTTGAGAGCAGAAGTGAGCATTCCTGTGAATTTCTTGTTTCCTCTGCTGAAGTAAATTATTTTTTTAAATGGGTAATACATGTGTGAGCATTATTTCCAATTATCCTTTCTATCTCTTCATCGTTTCAACTCTTCAATAGAAAGGACCAATTTAAATTGTGTTTTCCTTCTCTCATGAACTGGGAGAATATGATCTTTTCACTTCATTTGTTCTAATATTTCCTATCCTGCCCTGTAAGTTTTCTCCTGAACCATTCCGACCATCCATTTGTTTTCTTCTAAAACAGTTTTTGATGAATCTCATCTGCCTCTCAGATACTGTTTGAAATGGCTTTAAAATTCAAAATTATCCTACTTCTCTGCTTTCAGTTAGTGGATAAGCTTTAAAAGTTTAAAAATTATTGCTCGTGTTTTGTGTTATACAGCAGTGTTTTTGCTGGATTTCCTTCTGCCTCCTGTGTGCTACTTGAAATGGCTTTTGAATTTAAAATTATCTAATTATAACTTTCCCACTTCTGTTGTTGAACAAGCTTTAAATGTTAAAAAGATATTGCTGGTCTTTGCATTCTTTTCAACAACAGTTCTGTGCGTGTGGCTGTGTAGAACACCCACACTTATATACAGATTCCTACTTGCTATAGTAACATGGATAACAATTTATGAATGCAGGAAGAATCTCAACTTGCAAAGATCACTCGAGACAGTGCAAAGATAACTGTGGAGCAGGTCCATGGACTAATGTCACAGGTGATTTCTTATTCGTACCATTGACTCACAGTTGTCAACAATTGTGCAATGATAAATGGATGTTGCCTTGTCTCATTTGTGTGTTCCCAAATTAATATATGTGTCTCCTATCTGCTTAGGTTATCAAGGACATCCTTTTCAACTCTGTCCGTCAGTCAAACAGATCTCGCTGTGAGGTGTCTGGCCCCGAGCCAATGATTGAAGCATGAAAGTATTTGCTGCTAGATGAAAAGCTTCAAGGTGGCATAGTAGCTGAGAAAAAGTTCCAAGCGCATGGCTTTTTGGAGCCCTGCTTCAGAAGCTATGTAACTTCTTTGCACTTGTGTACGTCCTCCGGGGATTCATTGCTAATGTGCTTTTATATCTTGAAGGGTTTTTGTTTAACTAGCGTCTTTTTTCGGCATTCACAGCTATTTAAACTAAAGATTGGTTAAAAAATCATTATGGGGCGGCCCAAATTTTAGTCAGAAAGGAGTTGAAATGATTCAATTGTTCATCATTCACATAGGTTGGTTACTTACTATTCTGATTACTAGCTGTCTTTGAAGTGTTGGATGGATTAATTTGATTCAATTAATAGGACCATGAATCTACTGACCCTGCATTTTACGATACACTTTGTAAATATCAACTCACTTGATACCTTCAAAGTTGTAAAGTAGTAAACTGGTTGACGCATCAAAATGTCTGAGAGCAACTGGGATTGGCTGGCCTGCGCCCGAGACACCTCAACTTCACTCGATTAGGGTGAAAACTTATATAGAAAGTCAAAACGAATTATTGAACTGAACCGAAAGAAGTTGGGTAAAGTTGGATTCTACAATTCAGTAAAACAATTAAAAGACAAAAACTAATGGGTTTTGATAATTGAAATTCCAATATTTTGATTCTTTTAACATTCCCGAGCCATTGAAATTTTCAATTGAACCAAGAAAAGCCAATTAATATGGCCAAAAAGCAAGTTAGGCTCCTATGCTGTCAGCCTTGCACGCAAACACCTGTCTCTGTAAGCATTTGTGTGCATATTGTCACCTTCTTTTTCAAAAAAGAAAGATACCATTTAAGTGCTTTTGAATAGTTTGATGATGTTTGAAAAAATAAGAACCAAAATACGCTATTATGATATATATATATATATATATGTATATAGAATTAGAAGAGGTATATTAACTAAAAAGAAAATGAAAATTTGAATAGTTGAGAAGAAGAGAAATATTTTTTTTTTTGAAAAAGAAAATGAATGATGTAGAACGAGAAAGGTTGACAAAACTGTGGGAGGCCAAAACTAAAAGAAGCAGCATATCTTAGCACGTAGCTGTCTGCACTGCTTTTTTCACATGTAAATAAAAGCACAACGCCTGTGAGTCCCTCTTTCTTTCTTATACCACAATAATTATCATTTTCAGAAATTGTTTTTTTTTTGGTTTTGTTAAAAAAGAAAAGAAAAGAACAAAGACTATGAATAAGCATGCCTATTTTT